GACGAATGCCTTTGCTTTCTCAAAGGCACCGTCCACCCAAAATGGGATTGATGAAATTTTGGTGCCTAACAATAGTCAGGCTTCTAACTGGATACTCGCCCCACTCGCGCTGCTAGAAGTTGCTTCCGAAGCGAGAAAATTGCTTCGAAATTCGCTCGGATGACAGATTCGCCACGTTGGCTCCTCACCTTTGAGTGGGCTTGACGTTCGTCCGCCCATCCATGCGCAGACAACCAATCACCGATCCAAAGAACTCCCTATGGGTTCTGGAACGGGGATTTTCGGGGTTTTCGCGAACTCTCAACTTGATATTCGGGATCAGGGATGTGAAAAGGCCCCGGAAATGCAAAAACATGGAAGTCGAAAATTTGGGTGGACGGTGCCCTCAAAGCGCGGGCGTTCTTGACGCGATTCCAGTCGTCAAGCGATTTGGAAACTTGCCAGATGTCTGACTCAGCGCTAGCAGAGTTAAATGTACATTGTGATGGATGAAATGCCATATTTTTTTGTACATTTAGAACACGTTAATTTACAGAAAGTTGGAGTGTTGCTGAAAAATCGCGTGAGGTCGGTACGGCATGATCAGATATAGCCGCTCAAAGGCAGTGGCCAGGCAAATCTGGGAATGGGCGCATGACTTTTTGCCTGAAAACTGATGAGGGGTCCTAACTAAGCCCCTGCCCAAATGGCAGCGCGGATGATTCACTCACGGCTGAGAAATTCGTCCCCAAACCCTTTGCTACTGCGCCGTCACCGTAAGTCGCGTTTGGCTTAGGACGGGCTCCAGCGCAAACTGTTCAAGTTAGCGAAGTCCAAATGTAATCATTGGCTAGTAGATTTTTTACATCTTACGAAGTTCTTCTTTCTTCAGTTGATAAATGTCGTTGCTTGCAGAATGATTTTTTCGAATTCCGAGCTTTGTTTCATACCATGTCTCTTGTCTCCTACCCACAACGTTCAAGTCTCAATCTATAATAGCTCCATCAAACTACAAACAAATCTCAAAACTTCATTCAATGTGATCTGCTGTACAAAAACGCATTGTTGACAGCTCTTGTCTTTAAACTGGTCTACACTTCAATTTTTTTCTCAACAGTGAGGAATGAAGGAAGAAACCACTCATGTATGTATGTATGTATGTATGTATGGACCGATGGACTGATGGATGGATAAATCGATAAATGGGTCATTGATAGCCTGCTACCACTCGGAAATAATCTATTACATCGAGTACTTCATCCTACTCTGCTGTTGAAAGCAAACTCCACTTATGCAGATCAATGTACATGTGATTGGAGCTCTCTCCAGTGTGTGAGATGCATACATATGTGGACATTACCATTAGAGTTTACACTAGAGTTTAATGGTATGAGACCAGTGGCCGTATTCATCAACGAAGCCTGAGGATTAAACTAACCCTAGAGGGTTAGTTTAACCCTGGAAAGCGATTAACCCGTATTCATGAAACACAGGGTAGGCTTAACCCTGAGGGTTAAATCTAACCTTGAGGATGAATCTTACCCCGAAAGCGATTAACCCGTATTCATCAACGATCTCTGAGGGTTAAACTAACCCTGGAGGGTAAAATTACGTGATTCATCAGGGTTAAGTTAACCCTAGCCTAGTGCAAGGTCAACTCTACCCTAATACTTCGTACAAATATTTACTCGCATCTAATAATTTTATGGAAAACGATCAACGAGTATTGTAGTGCTTACAAGGGAAGTCACTTAACTTAGGTCGGCCTTTGGAAATGAGACACATATATTTAGAAACAGCTCGGAACGCTGATTCCAAATATGCTATCCTTAGCTGCGAAGCATTCCTCTGAAGCAAGTTATGAGCTTTTTTAGTATGTGTCACTGACATATAACTGAATATGGAAAGAAGGTCTTTAGATGAAAATCTGCCCAAAAAGTGGTGGAAAATCAAAATAACATCAAATTGAGTCATTTGGTTTTGATAGGGTATGATATGCTTTTGAACCACTACCTAGATGATGATACAGTAGCATGCCCAAGTCGGTCAACACACAAAATTTGCTCAGGAGAAAGCTCATAACTGCTTTAGAGGAACGCTTCGCAGCTAAGGAAAGCAGATTTGAAATCAGCGTTTCAAGCTGATTCCAACCATATGTGTCTCATTTCAAAAGCCCGACCTAAGTTAAGTGACTTCCCTTGTTAGTATTAGTTGTTGTTATAGTATTTAGTTTCGACTTCGTTTTATGTTCAAATTCGAAGTACATGAAACACTGAATTCGCGAGAAGAAGAATTCTAGCTTTGGTGACAAATGAATATATATATATATATACATATATATATATATATATATATATATATATATATATATTCGGGTTACAGTTACGGCGCAGGCGCGAGGGGGTTTGGAGACGGATTTCTCAGCCGTGAATGAATCATTTGCCCTGCCGTTTGGGCAGTGGGTTAGCACACGTACCTAAATCTATAGCCGGCGCGCATGATTTACATTCCCGGAGTCCTTGCCGTATGAGTGATTATTTGCGCACAGTTTTTGCCGTGTAACAAAAGTTAATTTACTTTTTGGCATACAGTTGTTGCAGAGTGTTTTTTGCATATAGTGAAAGCAGTGTGAGCATTGGGTTGTGTGAATTTGGTGTTGGCTCTTCTAAGATCCACGCCACAATTCATTGCGTAAAGTATGTTGTACAGAGAGAATTCCCTGGTGGTTCTGGAGTAATATGATTGATTAACTAACGCATGTTCGTTCTAAATGATGCTTCTGCTTTTTGAAATTCGTTCGAAGCATTTCAGAAAAGTGAAACAGACCCTCAGTGTACCAAGCGCACACGTACTTTTCAAGATTAAAGTCCTTGATAGTGGTTTTGCCTAAATCTTGACGTAGAGCAAAAGAGAGGAAGGACTTTCTTTATCACCATCTTAGTGCGTTCAACAAAAGACTGCTTTATGGGTCTGCTATCGTGTGAATCAGTTTGCGTTTTCTCTCATCGAAACATATAGACCTGACTTCATATGTAAAACAAAATCATAGCAGCAATCTTGCACCGGCTTTCAAGAATCGCTGTTTAATTGATGCGTGCCTTGCGAGGTGTAGGGACGGATTTATTATGGATCTACCGTCTAACAGAATACTCAGGTAGGCTTTCTCACAGTGTTTGTGTCCGAGACATACTCAGACAATCGACGGGACCCCTCCGCCGGACCCTCGGAAACTGCCAGAGTCGCGCCGGACCCAGTTGACCAATGAGAGAAGGGCAAATGGGCGGTCCATCGCGGTGGCATCACTGGCAGGCAAATGGGAGGCTTCTCCGGCCCTGCTGCAAAGGTCCGCCATTTCTCCGGCGCGACTCTGCCAGATTTGACGGACTCCGCGCCGCAGAGATCTGCGCGGCGCGTGTCCGCCAAATTTGGAAGAGACGCGCCGGAGAAAATGGGAGGGGTCCGGAGCAGAAATGGGAGGCCTCCGGAGCAGAAAATGGGAGGTATCCGGAGCAGAAAATGGGGGGTATCCGGAGCAGAAAATGGGGGGTATCCGGAGCAGAAGATGGGAGGTATCCGCCGGAGAAATGGGAGGTATCCGGAGCAGGCTGCGTATCGATTTGGCGCGTAGCAAGCAAACGTCTAACTCCACGGTGATGAGTCCTCTGTTTACGCTCTTTGTCCATATTTTAGTCGCCGTTTATTTGATTCTGTTGTTTTTGCGCGTTTCTTTACCGTTTTTTCCTTTTCCGCGTTGCTCTTCGTCGCGTTGGCGTTTATGTTGCTGTAAGTTCCTCGTTTTCAGGTTTATGTTTGAAATTTTCGTGCGGTTGCACTCAATCACCTTCAGTGTTTGGCTCTTTCCGACTTGCTGAGACATCGTAGACTATTGATGGAGTGGTTTCTGTGATTAATTCTGGATTTTCGAAACAATGAGGTTAGTTGCGCAACTATCTAGTGTTGTTGTGATGAAAGTATCGTCTAAATAATCCGTTTATTGCTATCTCCACCGATGACTCACTTTGCCGTTCATTGCATGCCGATCTTCTCGTATTTTCGGTTGTGATAGTTGTTCACGATTAGTCGTGTTGGAAAACTATCACAACCGAAATGCAAGAAGATCGGCATGCATATGTTAGTTGTTTTGTCGGGATCAGTCGCGACGATGAAATCGCGTGAACTCTGCTCGGGCCTAACGCTGTTCCTACTATTATACGCTGTCCTCATCATGATCGATGCCTAGCCGTCTGCGCGCTGCCCTAACTAGGCCCCCTCTGCATCCCTAACCAGCCCGGGGAGGACCGGCCCGCCGCCCGTCACGATCGGCTCAGCACGCGCCGCGCATGAGCTGCGTCGCGTGCTGAGCCGATCGTGACGGGCAGGTCAATCAGTACGGCTCGTAGCCCTTCAGATCGGCTCAGCTATTGGAGCGTTCTTTACGCAAAGCGTACGTCGCTTGCGATAGAGGTGGGATGCAATGCAGATCCACTGTTCCTGCGATTCCTGCAGTTCCTACGATTTCTGTGATTCCTACGGGTCCCGCAACAATGTATATTGCGGAAAAATAATGTATACTGAAAGTCGCAAAGCGACCCATCGTGCGGCACATCGGAGGTGGAGTTATATATCACAGAAAATGCAGAAATTACAGGAATCGCAGGAATCACCTCCTGGAATAGTATGACCGGTCCCGAGTGCTCCGGTTCAAGTTATACTTCCGGCACAAAACTCAAAATTCTTCAGTAGAAAACTCTTTTCTCTCCTCTGAAAATTCTTCAAACTCCTACAGAATTACTAAATTGTGATGCTTTCACAAAGATATTCTTTTACTGACTTCTTTATTATCTCATTCACATTTTACTGAATGGGTATATGATCCAAAAAACAAGAAGATCAATCAGGAATGAATGTAGCAACCAGGAATCGACGCTTGCATCGCACATGATGATGGACAATGATGACAACACTCTGTAGAGGATTAATACATATTCAGAGAGATGATATGGATGATGAAAATATGAAAGACTGCACAACAGATCAGCAAAGCACTTGAGATCAGTAAAAGTCGAGACCAATGAAAACACGCGGATCAATGAAAAACAAGGGAAATGATAGGCTATAGTGCAAAGAGCACAACCAGTAATGAATGAATGATACAACACCGGCAATTAGGTACTCGTATAAGACTATAAAATGATAATGACGGTAATGATTGAACCAAAGAAACAACATCGGCAAGTATATACTCGTATATGACTATAAAATGATTATGAAGACAATAATGGAACGATCTGGAAGAACTAACAATTTGTGTTGGAGAGATCTTTGAATTGACGGCGCTCTCGAGCCTCGGCTTTCAGTTTGGTACGCTAAAAGAGTGATAACATTTTCAAAATGGATTCAAATGTGTCACACAACCGACGTACCGTCTTGAACGGCTGTATAAGCGAAGGCTTTTTGCCCGTTCCGGGCACTTGCATCGGCAATCGCCTGGCAAGCGCAGGATTGATGTCTTCCGGGACTTCTTGTGTAACTCTTTCCAAATTATTATTGAGATCCTTGAGCAAATCCGCACGATTTTCTTTCAACAATCTTCGTGCAATTTCCGCTAGGTGAGCTTGAGTCTGCAAAGGAAAGGTTAATAACACACAAGGGGAATGTAAGACATGCACTTACCCCTTCAAAAACTTGGAATAATTCTTTCACGTCATCTTTGCGTAGAACGTCTTCTGGAGCAGCTGAAATGAAGTCTGCCGGATCGTTTTCGGACTCCAAACTAGGGGGCAACGCTTGTAGAGGTGCTCCGCTTGAAAAAGTCGATCGCATGCTGTGCTGGCTTTGACTTTGTAGAATATTTCTCACTAAAATACAAAAGTTTTTTTAGCGCAGCTTGATCATTAGTGGATACCTTGTTCACTGAATGTAGCCAACGCATGGCTGTGCAGGCATGATACTCCAGATTTATATGATTCACGGCATTCGCAGAAAATTCGCTTGTAACACGCTCCACATCTGGCACAATGTGAGTTGAGCTAAAAATTAACCGGAAATAATGGCAACGCATCTTTAGCTGAAAATAGACCTTCTCATTGCAGTCGCATGGTTCTTCTGTTATTGTGACTTCATATTCTGGTTTCGCCACTCCCAGAAAAGAAAGCACTTTATATTTTGTCGAACTGATTTGCTTGATGGCCCCCTAGGCGTTTATCTTCACAACACTATTGTGTGTGTGTTATAGACCTACCGGTACTCCAGTATAAAGTCTGAGAGCATCTTTGTGAGCAGAAATGTTTTGTTTTTGCCGTTTTGACGGATTTTCATGTTTATGATTCTGGAACACATGTGTGAGTTGCGAAAACATAGCTGCTTGCTATACTGCCACTTGCTCACCATGGCAATCAAATGCAGCTCCCGGTCGCTCGAATTTCTTAGAAGAGTGTAAACGACTGCATCCAGTCGACTATTTTGTTTACTCTGAAGGAGGACATGCTTGAGCGTGTTGTGAAATGATTCGGCGTGATTGGTGGTGGTAAATTGTGCTCCTCGACGGTAGCACAAGGCCCACTCGCGTTGTCGTCCTCGCAGATTTTTTTCAATGTACTAAAAGAGGGCAAGCTTATATGAGGTTGGAGTTCGAAAAACCAGAACATACGTCCACCATTTTTTTCGCGCCAATAGAGTTTAGCCACGTGGTGTAGACGCAAAAGTTATTTTCGAATTTCACTGGGTTCATCTCAAACAATGTTGCATGGAACAAGCGCTCGGCAGTGGATATATCGCATTTCTGCAACGACGAATGTAGTGAGGCACAAAGACATTACAAAGCATACATTCAAGAGTTCCTTGTGCTTCCTTAGTACCGTTTGACTAACATGGAAGCTGCACAGCACTTTCGCAGCTCTGCTGTTTGGGAAGACAGTTTTGAAGCCATTGTAGAAAATATAAGTGTCATCAGTCATGACGATGGAAGGGTCAAACTGAGGAACGCACTCCTACAATACCAATATTACCGGGATAGACTACTGTTTTCACATTCCCGCACCTTGATAAGTTCAAAAAGGATCGCTATTTCGGCTGACGTCATTCGAAACGCCAGCAGGTGTGCGCAGGGGAAGCCATTTCCCGCGTCATCGCTGACCAGGAGGGTAGCTAACCTGAGCGCATACCTGCTGACGTTGAAGGTATCATCAAAGACTATTCCTCTGTGGGAATATAGTTCCAGGTGTTTTTGGCCAGTGCTGGTTACAAATGCTGAACACAACTAGGAAAGTAATGAGAAATGTCTCAGCGCCAAAGCAAGAGTTGCTGCAATGTACCAGCGATAAAACCATCTCCGGTGGCATTTTCGGTAAACACAAGTCGATATTTCGCTATGTCGGGGCTTTGACTCATTAACATCTTTAGAGAGTCAAGATCATTTCTTCGGTATTGTCCATGTAGTAAGCCGTTCTGTTCAGCAATCCTACTGAAAACGCGGAGTGAGTAAAGATGAAAGTAATATTTGGAAGTAACCACACCTTACGTCTCGAGTGGTCAGGTAACATATGCGTGCCTGCATCGAATGACTCAGATTTTCATCCCAGTGTTCACTGCGTAGCTTGGAAACAATCTGGTAATTAGGTTCAACAGGAAAGATCTTCATATGTTTTGAAAACCCTAACCAATGATGGGGGTACACCCTCTTCAATAAGAGATTTGACACGCGTTCTATCGTCCGCTGTGAGAGGAAGCCATGCGTTATCTGATACGTGCCCGATGTGGTCGAAGCAGGCGTGTAATTCAATAAAACCGTCACCGCGCACGTGAACCTATGCAGGAAAATAAGTTAACAAATGGGGACGAGAAGGAGGATTAGAAACCTTTGCAAAAGCGCTACAATTCTTGACAACATGTTTTCTCTTGGTGTAACGTCGCTTGAGCTCTTTAGGATCGATTTCGGCGTCAGTCCCCCTTGAGTGCTGGCATACGTACGTGTAAATGTTCCCTCTGCTTGAACGCGCTGTACGTCGAATAACCAGTTTTGTGTTAGTTTTCTCTTCCATGTTGGACAGCCAGCACTACAAAGGCGGTTTATGGTGCGATATCGCTGGGAAAGGAACTATAAATGGAAAAAAAAGCAAAGGGGGTACAAAGTATAGTAAGCCATCTCATATTTAGTGAGTTGCGGTTGGATGTTCATGAAGCGACGAACTTACCTGAAAGTCGCTCCATGTCTCAAATGACTCGTTCAAAACATCAAATTCGTGGGAACGTGTTCTGTGTGTTGCACGGCAATGGTCAGCGAGTTCATTATAGGTAAAGCAAGAATGCAGGCATACAGGACATTCCACTCGGCGGCCCTCCCACCCGCCCTCGTGACCTTCCCTCCCTCCCGAATGTTGTATGCCGAGGTTATGCTCCTGAAAAATCGAGCTTCAAAGCGTAAGAGTTTAGAGACGTGACCAACCTTTCTGTGCGAACTCAAGCCTTTTTTTGAGAAAAAAGTTTTTCCACACTGTTCGCACTGCCCCTCATAAGCGTATATCGCTCTTTTGATGGCGTTTTTGACTTCGTCGATTTGTTCTTCAGATTGTTGATGTTTGAGGCGAAGGTGTCTGTACAGGTTACGTGTGGCGAACGGCCCCTCTTGACAGATATGACAAGGCGCCGATGTGATCATGGCTGAAACAGTCATGTTGCTATCACCACAAAGCGCAAATAAGACGCAAATAGAACGAATGATGAGGTATATAAACTTAGCAACATTGTTCGTGATGCCAAGTGGCATAAAAAGGAGAAAAGGAGGAAAGTAGATCGACCGCACGGACTGGTGTCATTATGGAGCAAGCGACTTGCAGAAGTAACGCTTTACCTGTACACATCGCCGTTAAGAGCTCCGCGCGTCGGATACCCCGCATGTCCATTAGTCCGTGCGGTCGGAAAGATTTCGAGACTTAACCATCGGATTGCGGGCGGAGGAGGGGAGAGTTTTTCTATAACGAACTGAAAGATAGGAAAACTAAGTGAGAGGAAAGTACATCAACGACTTTTTGACAAAAGGCAAGATGAGGACGAACTGGCTACTTTTGAGTAGGACTACACTTTGAAACACAAAAAAAGATGTTGGCAACTTGGCCAGAAAACATTCTGATGGAATGATGATTTAGAAATGAAAACGCCATGAGTTCGGCATAACTTGTTTTCCTTAAATATATATTATGAAAGTTGGCAAGATATGAGACGACGGATCTTCTAATAATTTCATCAAGACCCCCCCCCCCCCCTCTTCACTTTATAGATTAGCGTACAGTTACTGGTGTTTCGTTCTCAATACATTCTATAAATTCACCAGCAAAAACATGGTATCATTAGCCAAATATGCGGGTATATTGCTACGTTAAGAGGGTATCGAAGACAAAAATCAAAGACATAATAGTAGTTTTCAGCAATGTGCCACAACGCAAGGTATTCTGCGCACAATGTAAACAATGATAACTGCAGGATTACTTATGATGAATGAAATAAGCAAGATTAATTGTTGAAGGAAATATAAGAGGCGGCCAGGTTGTCTTTTTTGGCCACGTTAGCTAAGTTCCATAGGATAATGGTTTCTATGGATCTGTGGTGATGGCACGAAAGACTGAGATGAATGGGAGCATATTCTTGCAAAAGGTAAAAAGAGTGGGCATCTTGATTACCGAATGAAACAACGTGTGACATCCAACGAGACCTTGAGAAAAGAATTCCTGGCTTTGCAGAGGAAAGTTGGACACTACTTTAATCGAAATTTTTTTGATAGAAGCAAAAAATTGGCGAAGGTTCAAAATAGGTGATACTTAGAAGAGAATCAGAGTAGTTCAACAAACAAAGATTCGAAGACAAACGGTAAAATTGGCGAAGGTTCGAAATAGATACTTAGAAGAGTATCAGAGCAGTTCAAACAAAAATCCGGAGACGAGCGGTGAGGAAAAATACTGAAAATATACTGAAAAGGATAGAAAATGAGGACGAAGAGAGCTATTCTATCATTAAGATAAAGAGGAGGGAAGAGAGAGTGGGTGAGAAGAAAACTGCAGCACTTTGTCATTACAGAATTGAATATGTCGAGATTAGCACCTCAACAAACGTTCCTACACCTGACTGTCTTTGAAGCTGTCGAAATTATCGATTCGACATTGCGCAGGGACTCTACCTGTTAGGGCACGTTTGTAACTGAGCACGCGTCGCAGCTCATACGCGGCGCGTGCTGAGCCGACCGTGACGGGCTGCGGGCCGGTCCTCCAGCCCGGGCCGCTCAGCTCGGTTTTGCCCTATGCATGTCGATCTCATTAGTCATTCTTTTCATCTCACATTTTTCCTCAGTTTCAAGCTACAATGTTTTATGCATAATCTCACATTATTTCCCTTTTTCTCTGGTGCATCCAGGCCTTCGTTTTGATCAATATGCACCTGCGCTAAGTGCAAACCGAATCCTCGTTTGTTCATCTCATCTCGCTTACATCACTTATTGAACATTCATTTAGCTTGTGATCTGTGTGAAATAGTAATTTCACAGGGACAACCAGAGGTGCGATAGGGGGAGCCGGGTCCCCCAAAAGTGAAGGTGGTTTCAGCTACCACTGGCCGGCCAAAAGTGAAGGTGGTAGTGTCGGACACTCACCTCCCAAAAACGTCGACGGGGGGGGGGAGGTGCGGGGGGAGGATAGAACGGACGAACGGAGCTATCTTTCTAGGTCTAACGTCGACCCAACGGCCCTCTTTAGGGCCACAGATACGATGAATATTAAAAATATCTATAAATTTTATTTATAAAAATTTAAAATAGACGTGTTTAGTAAATGGTGTATTTGGAAGTAGAAGTTTGTTGGACTGTACGGATTTTATTAAGCAAATTTTGTTATAACGTACAGCGAAGAAAGTAGATCGATCCAGGCAGTAACGGCCGAGAATCAGAATTTCGAATAAATAAATAGTGAAAAATCATGCAAAATTTCCACTGTTATAAATCTGTTGTTTGAGGATGTCAGCAGTTGCGACTTCATAGGTTTTAAAGAGTAAATGTTGCTCTATCAGCTAGTGAAGGAATCGGGTCGATTTAAGAGATAGTCGTTGAAAACCAGAGTTCTAAAACTTTACGCCATTTTTGCGTGTTTTTTGACTGTTGAGAGTTAAACTCTTATAAATCTTGAATGTGGAAGTGTATGATGTTGCGACTTCATAAATTTTATAGAGTAAGGTTTGCCCTATCAGAATATGTCTTGTCCGTTCCGATCCATTGAAACACCTCCGAGATCCAGAGTCATGAAAAAGCAGGTAAAAAAGAGCTTTTTGAACTTCAACAGCTCATAACTTCTTCAGGATTGCACGATCATGTTGCGACTTCATAGGTTAGATTCTTCTCGTCAAGAGCTTTCAGATGATATATAATATGTGGGGGTTTCGCGCCTCTTACGGCATATGCCCGGGGGGGGGGGGAGACTTTTTAGGCCAAAGTCTCCCCCGGCAGCCTCCAGCCAATACATTAAAATGGGCGAGGGGGAGACTTTGGCCTAAAAAGTCTCCCCCCCCCCCCCCGGTCATAATTCGCAGGAGGCTCTAAACCCCCACATATTATATATCATCTGAAAGCCCTTGATGAGAGGAATCTAACCTATGAAGTCGCAACATGATTTATGCAGTTCTGAAGAAGTTATGAGCTGTTGAAGTTCAAAAAGCTCTTTTTTACCTGCTTTTTCATGACTCTGGATCTCGGAGGTGTTTCAATGGATCGGAACGGACAAGACATATTCTGATAAGGCAAACCTTACTCTATAAAACCTATGAAGTCGCAACATCATACACTTCCACATTCAAGATTTATAAGAGTTTAACTCTCAACAGTCAAAAAACACGCAAAAATGGCGTAAAGTTTTAGAACTCTGGTTTTCAACGACTATCTCTTAAATCGACCCGATTCCTTCACTAGCTGATAGAGCAACATCTACTCTTCAAAACCTATGAAGTCGCAACTGCTGACATCTTCAAACAACAGATTTATAACAGTGGAAATTTCGCATGATTTTTCACTATTTAAATATTCAAAATTCTGGTTCTCCGCCGTTACTGCCTGGATCGACCTACTTCCTTCGCTATACGTTATAACATAATTTGCTTAATAAAATCCGTACAGTTTTGCTAAGCTTTACTTCCAAATACACCATTTACTAAAAACCTTTATTTTAAATATATATGCCGCCGTATACATAAATATATGCTTTCAATAATCTTTTTTGCGTTTGTTTTGCTTATTTTCCTTCTTTGTCGTCCAGCGAAAAATTTTTTATTCCAAAAGTGAAGGTGGTCACCCCGTACCAGCTCAAAAGTGAAGGTAGGGGGAGACTTGGCTCCCCCTATCGCACCTCTGGGGACAACGCATCCAAGCTCACGAAAGCGCGAGCAGATGGAGTGATTGAAGTCCTTCGCTGTTTTCACTCTGTTTCCATTGTCAAAGGTAAATCATTAGTCTTTCATAACCTTGAACGTGAACGACACTAATGATTTCTTATTTTTTGTTTGCTTTTGTTTCTTTCTGTTTTCGTACTATCAGTAATCCGTATTTATCGCTACGGGTCATCATAATAGCTAGTACTTTTAATTCTGACTTCATCAATCAACTTTATCAGTTCGTATAAAGCTTTTGCGAATCCACCCACGTACCTATGTAGTTGCCAATTTGCGTTGGGGCCTCTCTCCTCATTACGTTAGAAATACGCTGAGAGTGGTTGAATGTTGCGTTTTTTTTTTGAATTTAAAGTCTTTTACTCTGAGAAAAAGTACTGCTGAGGTATCAAGGTTGTAGAACATATAGTTTCAACATATCCTTGTCATTTCAATCAAGAGTCTAGCGCAGTTTTGAAATGTTTTTGGTATCTTACAGATAGCTTCTTTGGTCATCCACGTAATCATAGTTGCTGTCAAATTAAGGTCATCTGGTCCAATCGCACATTCTCGTTGGGTGTCGGTCTTGGCGGTGGAGCACGTCAGCGTCATTTCATCTCACTCATTTGGTTTCTGCTTTCTTGTTAGCGTTTTCTATAGTTCTCTGGTCTTGATGGTATAAGTAGAGAGATACGGAAAAAACATCTTGTCATTTTTTTCAACTAACTGCCGTCATTGCACTACAAGAGAAGTTGTTGTTCTTTTTTGCTCGTACTTTGTAGCCTTTCATGTCTAAGGCACCCGCCATACTTACCCCTCTTGATCCGCTTGATCCGCTTGATCCGCTTGCTCCGCTTCTTGCAAGACGCGTGCAAAACGCGCGCACACAGCAGTCTGTCATTTGGCGTCACGTACAGCGAATTTGCCTAACCACCGAGATCGCTTTTTACCTACGCGGCGCCAAATGACAGACTACTGAGTGCGCGCGTTTTACACGCGTCTTGCAAGAAGCGGAGCAAGCGGATCAAGCGGATCAAGAGGGGTAAGTATGGCGGGTGCCTAAGGAAGCAGAATGTCACTCGCTTCATCGGACATGAAAGTAGTGCATTTGGACCAAGTGACCATTGATAATGCGCTGTTTTTGGGAATATCTTTCGCTTTCCAGTCTTTTCATCCAACATTATTTTCCAATGTTTGTTCATTTGGTGCTTACATATCTGGATACTATTGACTTTTACATAATATAGGTAATGATGGTAATCAATATTCCAAGTAAGGCGAAGTGATTTTCCAAAGCTACATGTCACTTTGATAGTACCTATGTGCATTACTTACATTACTTACACAGATTGCTCCGCAACTCAACGCTCGCTGAAGTATCGGAAATGAGTGATAAGGGTGATCGTACTCTGACACTCTTGCACTTGCGGAAAACGTTCAGTGAATATATGCGAATACCTCTCTCAGGATGTCGAGATGTTGACCCAAACCGTTTATTGCCATTATTTACAAAGGTTCGTGAATTGAATGTTTTTTTCCTCTTTACTCTATTCCATGTTAACTTTTACATTTTCTGTGCTTGCAATGTTTGCTCTTCCTTGTTTTGTTGTCTTTCATAGCTTTGTAACTTATCACAATAGCGTCTGCCTCTTCTAGGTCATGGCCATGTTCACGCCGGCCGAGTTGAAAGCGGAGTCCAAAGAAATTCTGAACTTCACTACGTTTCTCTGCAGTGTTTTAGTAAGAGAAGTTAGACAGAGGTGCGTAATGTTTGTTTTCATAGCTGATATATTCATAGCGTTTACAGAGCGGCCAGTCATGGTACCGTCGAAGCGGCATCTAGCATTGTTGATTATTTACAGCCGTCTTCTTCCCAAAGAGGATGGCTTCTCCTAAATTCTATATTTTTCTTGATCTACGTGAGTTCAGTTATGACTTTGCATTAACTAAAAATTTATTAACGTTTTGATCTCAGATAATTTTTGTGAAGTTAAAAAAATTATGATCTATCTTTCAGTGAAGACGAGGCTATAATAAACGCCGTATGCAAGTGTCGCTTCCCAGTACCCTGGTAAAAACTATCTAACTATTTTACGATCTTCCTGATGATGAAGAACATACGGAACCGAGGTTCAAACTCAATGAACTACTATCATGCAGCTGGATAGGTTGTGTTCTTACAAGTGAGTTTCTCTAATCATTAGCAACGTCATTTACGCTTATGTTATTAAACAGGTGGATCATTATCTCATCGATCATTCAATCTTGGCGCTGTTCCCGATGACATCAGTGGAGAACAATTCGTTCTTCACATATGCAAGCAAATAGATAATATGGGCCAACTGCGACTGCAATTTAAACTGTTCCACAAACCGTTGTTTGGTTGGAAAGGTTCATTCTTTTACACCAGTGGGTGTGAAATGATTTACGATATGAGATGATTTTTCGAAGAAGTTTGAAAGATTTGAAATAAATGTCTTATCTCTTCGTTCTTTCTTCTATCTTCTATCCACAAACGCTAGGGGTGAGAGGGAGGGGGTAGAGTACGGGGTGAGGGTCGCGCTAAACTCCTACCCGGGGGGGGGGGGTCCTATTCGGCTTATTTGGGTGGGGTTTAGAGACAAAATTGGGGTTTGGAGCTTAAAGGCAGCGTCCAGGCAAGTCTGGACCTATGGGGATTTTACATGGAAAGTATTTTGGGGCCCTAACTAAGCCACTACCCAACCGGCAGCTCAAGTAGTGCTCTAACGCCTGAGATATTCTGCTCGAAACCGGACCCCGCGACCGTGTTTCGCATGGATTCATGGCGCAAAGAGTGGATCCTGGCGCGAAACTGCCATGAATCCATGCGAGTACGTTCGCGGGGGTCTGTTTCGAGGGGAATATCTCAGCCATTGGAGCACTACCTGAGCTGCTGCTTCGGCAGTGCCTTAGTTAGGGCCCCAAAAGTGCTTTCCATGTAAAAGCCCCATAGGTCCAGATCTGCCTGGAAGCTGCCTTTAATTAGGGCTAATTACAGTATGCCGCGATCGGGGGGCTCCGGCGCACAAAATCGGGGGGCTCCGGAGCAGAAAATGGGAGGTATCCGGAGCAGAAAATGGGGGGTATCCGGAGCAGAAAATGGGAGGTATCCGGAGCAGAAAATGGGGGGTATCCGGAGCAGAAAATGGGGGGTATCCGGAGCAGAAGATGGGAGGGCCCCGCCGGACAAATGGGAGACCCACCGCTGGGGATACGCCGCGACCCTGCCACTTCTCCGGCGGAGGGGTCCCATCCATTGTCTGAGTAGCAGTGCATACATTTTTACAAATGGATGTTGCTTATGAAAAGGTGCTTGCAAACAGTGATCAAATAAGCTAGGAACAAAAACCAACAAAAATCGTTTGGTCACTGCTATCTTCAGGTTCTGGGAAGGGTATTCACAAATGATACATGCCGAAATAAGAGGATTATTGACTTTTTCGCTGATCTGCGTAGCTGTTCGTATTAAGATTCAGGTTGTAAGCATGCATTGCTACGCTTTGTATCGTGTAGTTTTTCTTCTTTATGTCCTATCATGACCAACATTTCTATATTTATTCCTACTCCTTTGAGGAGCAAATCGCTGCTGAATAGGATAACGCATGAAGAATAGGCGTGCATTCAAAATCGTCTCGAATCAGAAATGACCCTCAGGTCAGTGAAACTTCTAGAAGTGTTGCGATGCAAGTCCCAGAGTCTATGGAATATAAAAGACAAAAGGCGAAAACTCTTTTGTTTTCCTTGGAAGCCAACTTTTGCACCAGATCGAGCACAAACTTTTACCTCACCATAGACCTGAGACATGAATATGGAAGATACTGTAAAACTACTGAAAGCATTTACATTTATCATAAGCGTAGAATCATGTCCATAATGTCTGGCGTGCTCCAGCAGCGAAGATCGCGGCGCCGGAGAAGTTCGCATTGGAGCATGGGGCGCGCTTTGCGCAGCCATGTGTAGATTTAGGTACGTGTGTGGGTAGCTAGGACCCTCTCGTTAATTTCCAGGAGAAAACGCTGGGAACGAACCCATCACAAGGGCGGTGGTTTCACACTAAGGGCCGCATGCACTAACTTGGCCGCGGGGAGGGGATCGCAGCTTAAAAGAAAGCTTCATATTTCGAAACTCCAAATACTTGGATTTCACGTTCTGTACCTATCCGTAAGTACTCATACTATCCTTCACTATGAACATGTTGAACAGGAGCGAGAAGCTGTACAAACCGCATCTTCCAGCTTTTGTATGATCCCTGATGATCCCCGGCGCTTTTCTTTGAAGTCATTTTTCTTTCTCCGAAGTTAACGAAAAACTTCCAAAGTTGTGCAGATTATCTAAGCCAACAGTGCTAAGCATGCTGCTGATAAGAACAAATGATGTTTCGAAGTCATGAAATTTTCGATGATCCACAGGTCGAAATTTGGGGTATACCGAAAAATTCGATTTTTCAAAAATTCATTTGTTCGCATCAGCAACATGCTTAGCACTGTTGTGTTAGATGTTCAGTATAACTTTGGAAGGTTTTCGTTAACTTCGGAGAAAGAAAAATGATTTTGAAGAATAGATGTTCGTTCCCCAGGGATCATCAGGGGATCCTACAAAAAGCTGGGAAATGCGGCTCGTACAGCTTCTCGCTTCTGCTCAATATGTTCATAGTGAAGGATGGCGAGAGCACTTACGGACAGATAGACAGCGTGAAATCCAGATATCCGGAGCTTCAGGATATGAAGCTTTCTTCTGAAGCTGCGATCCCCTCCCCAGCGGAAATGTTAGTGCATGCGGCCCTAAGTGTCGGCACAAATACGGAGCGGAGTCTGTGGAGACGGATATCTCAATCGTGAGTGCATCGTCTGCTCTGTCGCGAGGCACCGTCCACCCAAACTGAGAGTAGTGGGATTTTGATGTCATGAAATAGAGGGGCCTCTTACTAAGCCATCGCCCAGGTCTCGCTGCAAAAGATGATTTTCGAGGGAGAAAACCGCTTCAGAAGGTAGAAGCGCCACCGGGCTTTGTCCATCGGAATGGGTAGTCTGAAGATAAAAAGTTTGAAATTGGGCTTCGGGGAGTAGAGATGTCGAAGATCCGACAATTATATTGAAGGGACTTATGATTCTAAATACATTAGAGCCCGATTTTGGGCTTTTTGTCTTCATACCATCCACTTTGATGGGCGAAACAGCGTGGAGCTCCTACCTTCTGGAGGGGTTCTCTCGCTTCGGAGTTCATCTTGCAGCGAGACTTGGGCGATGGCTTAGTTAGAAGCTCCTCTATTATATGACATCAGAGACTCAACACCTTCAATATGGGCCTACGGCACATCTAACAATAAGCGACAGAGCAGATTGTGCACTCACGGCTGAGATATCCGTCTTAACAGACCACGCTCCGTATTTATGCCGACGACTTAAATCGGACTGCATGCTATTGCGTGCGGAACCACCGCCCTTGTGATGGGCACGCACAAAAGTGCAAGTCGATGCAAGTCGCCCGCTAAAAACGACACCCAGGTGTTTGATGGATACTGCCTTTGAAGGCTGAGTTGATTCCTTTCAAAGTTCAAGCTAGTATCTAAGGCTTGGAGAGCCTCGGACATCCTGACCACGTGTTATCGAAAAGAAAATGTAAGTTTTAGTCCGGGACTTCGGAAACTTAGAATACTAGCTAGAACTTTAAAAGAGAAGGAAATGAGCGTTTAGGCGAAGAGAGAGCGAGAAAGCTGTGACTTGGGCGTGAGGATGAAGGAATAAAGGGAATTGCAAGACTAAGTTATCTTTGAAGAAGAAAAGCAGCATCTGGTTGCGCTACCTTTGAGAAAAGAAACTTAGGTGATGTTGGGTGATGTAACTTTGGTGATAAAACCTATAGATCTTACGGCCAGTGCACTATTCGGGAAAAAGATTTTGGGATTATGATTTGAAAAAGTTGAGAGGTGAAGGAAAATTTTTTTAGGTTTAGATAAAGATTTTGAGCAACGAAGTGACGCACGTCGAACGCGTGGTATCTGGGACAATCAGCTAGTGGTCTGAAAAGAGAAGCGTGAGCACATTGGCCAAGTGTTGTGGGCATTTTGATTTAGGTTAAGAAAATTCGGGTTCTATCTAGGAAGATTTGAAGAAGGCACACTTTGGACACGAATATCTGGAAAAAGGATTCTTGAAGTTCGCCACACTCGAAGAGCCGCGGAAGCATTCCTGATATCACCTTTGAGAAGGAAGGAGTGAGATCGTGAAGCATACAGCTCGTTCTTAAAGGCAGCGTCCCACCAGAATGGGGGTACCTGGCTCTTGTAATGATGTAATAGTAGACCCCCTACCTAAGCGATGACTGAAGTTCGGAGCGAAAAGGGGGTCTACCAAGCCTGAAATTCGCTCCGAAAGTGGGCCGAATCTTACGGTAGGCTCGGGCGAGTGCGAGGTGCATGCAAGGTAGAGACGCAGAGTAGTTGCGGGTCCCTGCGCTCATGATGTGTGCGCTATACGCACTCTGGCCCTGCAAATCGATAATGCCGTGTGGGCGGCGTTCGGCCCTACCGTAAGATTCGGCCCACTTTCGGAGAATTTCAGGCTTGGTAGACCCCCTTTTTCGCTCCGAACTTCAGTCATCGCTTAGGTAGGGGGTCTACTATCACATCGTTACGAGAGCCAGATACCCCCAGTCTGGTGGGACACTGCCTTTAAAGGCAGTAGCTCGGCAAATTGACGCCCGCAGGAAAACGACGCAGCAGAGGAGAACACCTCTTGATGAAACTTATGGGCCAAAGCTCGATCTCTCTCTTTGCCACTTCTAACCCCTTCTAGATTGAACTTTGGCCCATAGGTTTCATCAAGGGGTGTTCTCCTCTGCGGCTCGTTTTCGCGCGGGCGTCAAGTTGCCGAGCTACTGCCTTTGAAGACAGCGTCCAGGCAGATCTGGACCTATGGGGTTTTTACTTGGAATCACTTTTGGGGTCCTAACTAAGGCACTGCCCAAGGGGCAGCGCAGGTATTGCTTTAACGGCTGAGATATTCCCCTCGAAACTGGCCTCCGCGAACGTATTCGCATCGATTCATGGCAGTTTCGCGCCAGGATCCACGTTTTGCGCCATGAATCCATGCGAAATACGATCGCGGGGCCCAGTTTCGAGGGGAATATCTCAGCCGTTAGAGCACTACCTCAGCTGTCGGTTGGGCAGTGGCTTGTTTAGAGCCCCAAAATTACTATCTACGTGAAATCTCCATGTGTCCAGACTTGCCTGGACGCTGCCTTTAATGGAGGACGGAGGAGGCTTCAACTCAGGCATTTGCCTATCAGGTTACTTTGATATTACTGCCAGCAAGCAGAAAGTTGTAGGCTTTCGCTAGATCAGCTTCGAAAGCGGAGAAGCAGGGGTACCGACGAATTTAGACTCGCTCTCACCTTCGAGGGCGAGAAGACATCGGACACCTTAATTTTCAATCAAAGAAGAATCCCACGGCTTC